TTTCAACAGAGTTCTGTTGCACAACCGCCATGGCAGCCACAGAGGACGGCGAGGCAAAAAATGTCTTCTGGAACGCGACAACGGAAGCACATTTCATCACCATATGGGGCACTGAATATACTCGCATTGGAAAGGGAAATTTCAGCAAGCATAGTTGGGAGCAGGTTGCAACGAGCTAAACAAAACGCTTGGTGAAACAGAAGGCCATTTTCTTGTGAAGCATTGCAAAACAAAGATAGATACCCTCAAGAAAAGGTACAAAGAAGAGCTCAGCAAAAAGAACAGCACGGGATCTGTGAATACCACCTGGTTGCATTTTGACAGCCTTGCTTCCTATTTGGCCACCTCCTCCAAGATGACCGGAATTCCTGGCTCTTGCGACTCAAGTGCACCAGCACCGCTAGTAGTGGAAGAGTTGCAAAGCCCCAAGTCCTCTGACAACCCGAGAACTTCGGAATCAGTCAATCCAGCTGAAGTGCAATCACCTGTGGAAGAAGATCAGATCTTGCCCGCGGCTGCTGCGCAAGTTGCAAATGCAACACCAAGCAGTGTTACGTGCAGCAAGTCACAAGAAGAAACGGATGGAAAAGCACGCAAGCAGACAGACAGCAAACAAGCCAGGGTTCCTCACAGTCCTGTCACAGCCTTCAACGACAAATTTGGGAAGAATCCGGCTGTCTCGGGAAAGGGAAACAGTAAAAGGAACACATCATCAGAGGTCAAATCACCCCCCCGGCACAGCGCACTTGCAAAAGAGTTTGGGAACTTTGTGAAAGTGTTTGCTGATTTGGGGCAAAGAGGTCTAGATCTCGAGGAAAGTCTTGCAAACAACCAGATGAATCAGCAAAATGCCTTGGCAGAACGCAGCGAGGCAGTTAATATGCAGCTTGCGAAGATGAAAATGGAGCTCATGGTTGAGGTAGCCAAGATGAAAGAGGGAACGGAAGCATCTGGAAGCAGGAAACGAGCTCGAGAAAGCCAAGATGCAGGTGGGCAAGCAGTTTGAGTATTTATAGTCCACTTTGTTGTAGTCCATTTGCAGTCTACATATTGTTTGTGTTTTGTTTTGAGTCTGGATGTTTGTTGCAACCTGTCTGTGAGCCTGAATGCTTGTTGTACTGTATTCTAAATATTATTCCTAAGACGTTATAGGTCCTGATTCCTTTCCAGATGTGGTTTTGAACAAAACGATAAGGAGTGACGGTTTCATAAGCGTGACTATGTAGCTTATGGAAGTACGAATTCATGTCAATGCTTTGAATCCTTCTTTTCATGTTGTGGAAATCTGCTCTGTTGCATCACTGTGCAATCACAAATTGCTGTAACAAACAAGGTAATTGCATGACGCAATCGTCAATAACAATCACTTTGCGTGCAGAAACCACGGATTAGGACAACGCAGAATGTTATTTACTATTATGACCGGTAAGTTGGTGACGACTCACCAGAAAACTTCATGATCACTGATCTGTACATCTAAATTCTAAAAATTTCTCTGTCATTGGGCTGAATGTTGCAAAAATTTGTCTAATCCTATTCAAGCATTCGGGATGCAAAGTCAGCCAGTAGGGCATTACGCACGTCCCTCCCTATTGCTTTACTCTGAGCCTCCGACTCAAGAACCTGAATATCATCGTTCTCTCCAGCAAGATTGTTGGGATGCTGATCTTGAAGATTTTCATGATCGCCCGGCTCTCCGGCTCTTTGGCAAATGTTGTGCAGGACACAACATGCTACCGAAATGCGTCCAACCCACTCTACTTCGGCTCCGCAATTCTTCAAAATCTGCCATCGATTTTTTAGAATGCCAAAGGCATTTTCTATCTTCACCCTTCCCTTCCTCATGTTCTTATCAAAAAGGTTTTGCGCCTGATTGCCTACTGATCGTGCGTTGAATGGTTTCAAAATTTGTGCCTGCAGAGGATTTGTACTATCTCCAAAACAATGTATGGTTTTATGTCCTTCTCTCCTATTCTTACAATCGGTCCTTGTAACACAGATTTTTCTCGCAATTTCTGCCAGATGGAAGAGGCCCGCAAGTGAGTGGCGTCGTGGCTCCCACCCGGGAGACGAGTACACACGTCCCAGAAGATCCTCCGATCGTCACAAATTCCTTGTAGAAGAATTGAATGGAAGTCGTGTCTGCACCAATACTCGGCGGCGACTAGAGCAGCTCTAGGCCTCCTATAGATTTTAATGTGCGACCCATCAATTGCCCCTCACATGTTGTCCAAACATGTTGTGCTTTTAAATTCTGCAATGATTCTCGTTAGCTCTGCTCCCATTGGCATGAAGATGTGCCTACGTAGTAATGAATCAGGATTGGACAAGGCGTCTACAACAATCTGAGTATACTTTATGACGGTGCTTTCGCCTACCCCATAAAACCTTCCAACAAACTTTGACGAGTATCCATGTGCCAATCTAAAAAGTACAAATGCAACTACCTTTTCTACAGCAATCGCTTGTCTGAATTTCGTATTCGCATGTTCTACAAATGGTCGCAATTCTTCCACGAGTTCGCAAAAAGTTTCGAACGACATTCGATAGCTTTTCCTCCATTGTTGGTCAAGCAAAGCTGGTGAGCTTTTCCAAATACACCCTTGTATGATATCCCATTCTGCTTGCTGTCTTGGGAATATCCACCACATTCGATTAGCGCCAAAATTTCTTTCGATGTCCACCTCTACTTCGGATTGCATGACAAAGGCCATCATAAGAGCCATAATGGTTGCGGCCATCGCCATAAGGCGCTCAAGGAATCGCAAAGCCATTCTGTCTCCCTTCTTTCTAAATCAAGTATGTTCTACCTTCGCTGTCAAATCCATCCCTGTATCAAAGCAGGCCGGGCAGTAGAAATGACGAGCAAACCCAGAATGCTCATACCCGTACCATTATCCAGTTTGACCAATATCATGATGTTCGGTCTTTCAAAGCTTTGTTGTTTTCATACAGCCCAACAAAGCTAACAACTCAGATTTTTGACATTTAGTTGAGGTTTCCAACAACGATCATGAGTTTCTTCCCAATATTCGGAGGTCTTTGACCTTGAAGACCGGAAGTCTTGTTGCGCGCGGGGATGCGACAGGTTCGTCTCAAATAGCCCTAGCATGCTGGACTCAAGACTGCAGCATCATCATGAACTAATTCACGGCAGTCCTGGACCGTTGAATAAAGCTTCTCGAACGTGCAATGTCGACTTACGCGCGCGCAATAACCGCCAGCCCCGTGGCCGAACGACCGGATTTTTGTAATGTGAGCGATCGGCGTTTTCCGGCGAAATCACCGTGTCCGGCCGGCCGTTTTACCACTGACCGGCCGGAAAATTTCAGGTAAGTGTGAGCGTAGTATCAGACCTGCAACCAAGGAGCTCCACCTAAAGGGATAAAGGCTAAAGCCACTGAGTGAGTGAGTCCAGGATTTTCAGACCATGTGCTCGCGCCTGGACAGCCTGTCTGCTCTTCGCATCGCCTTTGCTGAGGCCGCAAAACACGCGCTGTAGATCATAGTTACAGCGCTGTAGCTGTCCATGTAGTCCAGAGATCTGCCTGCTTAGCTTACTAGTTTCCGACTAGCTAGTCATGAAGCTGACAATTCATTGGAGGAACATTGAATAAGCAGTCTGAGCAGACAACTGAAGAAAGAAGCCAGCGGGGGATTGCCGCGGCAGCAAGACTGCCACGGAGCTAGCTGTCGAAGGCAACTCGGGTACTTGCTTCCATCTGCACTATCGGTAAGTCATGTTTTCCAATGTTTTCCAATCCCATAGGGCTTTAGTAACTCCATTATGATGTCAGCTTGACGTCCTGCCAAGGGAAGCCTTCCAAAGCAGTGCGGAAAGACGCAATGTTCTGGTTGAATTAGCAACACGCCGTTCAATTGCTATAATATCCGCTTAAAGTCCTGTAACAAAAGTTCGTTCAAGAGATGCCAGCCAGGTGCGTAAAACACGTGATTATTCATCCCGTTGGCTTCACCGTTCCCTGTTGATGGCCTAAACCTGATTAGGTGTCTCCCGTGGTTGACAGCTTGGAAGCTTGAGGGCCTGTCCGAGCTGTCCAAGTTTTGGACCGAAGTATTCCTGCCGTTATGTTTGCTGATGTCATTCAATCCACTGTAGTCGATAGCGTACAGGGCGTGTCCGAGCTCCGGCGCAAAGTGTTCATGCCGTCCAGCTTGCCAATGTCATTCAATCCACTGTAGTTGATAGCGTGGACTCGGACAGGGCCTGTCCGAGCTGTCCAAACTCTTGCGTAAAAAGTATTTCCGTCATTTGATTTTCTGATGTCAGCAATGTCTTCAGCTGATTGCACGGTTTGTTGCTTGTGCAGTTTGGGATGAGGCAAACTTCAAGCAGCGTGGATTCTGCCTCAGCCCCGGTCCCGCCTCTGTTGCAAACATGCCTGACGCCTGTGGAGAGCGGTGGAGGAGATCCAAGTATGGAGGACTCGAGAATGGAGGTGATTTCTTTGTTGCATCTCCTAATGTCACCGAAAAGGTGCTGTTCAGGACGACGGAACGAGCTTGTTGCAACTTTGTCCTGCTTCTCAACCAAGACAGCCTCTTCCTTCTGATTTCCCCGCAGCAAAATGTGGCAGACTGAAGTGTGCTTAAGGAGTTTTAGGTTTGGCATCACCAGGTCTGGTTATTTTACTCAAATCTCAGCCTTCTGTACGAGTATGCATCTGTTTTCCAGGTCTGAAAAAAAACAGCCCATACGCAGCTCATGGCTATATCGATAGCTTTTCACAACTGATTTTCATATGGTGTAGACAACACGCACAAGTCTTCAGCGGCCAGAGATGGGTTGATTGACCTTCAACAGTCTGACATGGGTAAAACCCTCTCAAAATTATGTCGATAAAAAGGGCCATCAATTTTGGACACAAGGCACTGCCGAGGTGCTTCCCATTGATCCTGGGTTGTCGGAAACCTTGTGTACGGTGCAGAAACGTTCACTTAAAAGCATTCTTGCGACTTAAAGCATCCTTCAATCTGACATGTTCCGGTCCTTTCTCGTCTATCAGGAGAGTGGCGGTTCAAGCAACGAAGCAGAGTCCGACGGAGAGGACATAGAGGACGTGGAATTCCACCGGGAGGAAGAGTCTTCTGACGAGGAGACCTCGCAGGTACGGGCGTTCAGGGATGATTCGCCTCAATCACTGGGCCGTTCCCCAGTCTGTGTTTACGCTGCGATGGACGCAGAGCTTTGGCCGTCAGACTCAGAGTCGGGCATGCAGTTGGAGGGGCGCAAGCGAAGCGAGCGGGGAGAAAGCGATCAGAGCGCAGAGTCCCAGCTACGTGGGAGGGGTCGTCGCCGGGTGATCATGTCGTCATCGTCTAGTTCGGAAGCGGAAGCCGATGAGGGGGGGGGACAGTCGGCTACGTCGAGCGAGTGGGGCGACCTTCATGATGACGACGACCATGCATGGGACTGGGACGATGAGCATGAATCTGGAGAGCTGCGCGAGTACTTCAGCGTCTGCCGCATCGACCTTCATCTGGGGCAAGATTACAGGGAGTCCCTTGCGCCCCAGGTGTGCCCACTTTCTGTAGTTGGAATGTCCTTCCGTTTCTTCTTCAAAAAAATTGGAGCTGAGGCCTGAGAAGTCTGTCCAAAAGTGTACAGTGATGAATATTTGCCCTACTTCCTGGTGTATCCATCTACATTCTCAGACAATCACTTTATTTTTTGAGAAGGTACTTGCACACAGAGCTGGCTGTCTAGATGTCCAAGCTTTTATGAAAAAATTTCGGAATTCTGTGTGATGACGTCATCAACCTCGACCACAAAATCTTTCGCCAAACCTCGGACACTTGGACAGACTCTCCAGCCCAGCAGAGCTTGCTCACAGAGCTGGCTGTCCAGATGTCCAAGCTTTTGTGTAACAAATTTCGGAATTCTGTGTGATGACGTCAGCAACTTCAGTCACAAAATGTTTTGTCAAACCTTGGACACTTGGACAGACTCTCAAGCCCAGCGGAGCTTGCAAACAGCTTTTCTAGCATCTGTTTGCAGCTTGCCCGTTCGTGCTTCCACTTCATTTTCCATCGCGGTGAACTTTGGGATTGACGAGAAGCATCGGCTGAACGGCTCCTCTTTCTGACGTGATCAAAGTGCACATGTGCAGGCGGTGTTCCAGCCTGGACAACCGGTGGATGCTCTCGTATCCACAAGGGCCGCCGCAGCCGGGCCCTCCGTCCCAGATGCTTCCAGGTCTGCCCCTTTGACAGCGGCCACGTCAGAAGTTCCTACCCGCGTCACCTGCCGCACCGCAGTGCAGGAGACGACGCCCTCTCCTCGGGTAGGCACAAGATTGACGGGTTTCGTTCTCTAGAGCTTGAAGCACTTTTTGCACTTGGCCGTCAATCTAGGTGCGAGAAGTTGGTGTGAAGTAATCCTTCGTTCCTTCTGGTGACAACAACGCAGACGGGCTTGGTCGAAATCAGTTGCCGGCGTCATTGCACAGACTTCTGAAGACTTACTGCAAAGTGTCCAAGCTTTTTGCCAAACTCCTTCTGAGTGAGGTCCCCGATGACCTCACCAGGGCTCTATGCTCGCCCAACATCCGTTGTAATTTACGCCACGGACCCTCTCAGAGGTGTCCAAGGTGTCCGAGCTTTTGCCAACACGTTTTTATGCAAAGCGCGCGTCTGACATCCATTGCATTATCTGCAGGAGGTCGGGCAACGGAGCACAACCCCTTTTCACGGCCTCGTTGACCCAAGCCACTTCAGTGACTTCCAGCGCAATCTGAGAGCCGAGAGGCAACTGGCATCCTCGCAAACAGCAACCACGGCTGGCATCAACCGCCCTCAGGTTAGCTCTATAAACTTGGTCTTCTTATGGAACACTCATACATAGGGCTCGGGTCGGTATCTTGATGGGCTTGCTTTTTATCGGACGACTGGACTCGGTGCGCTGTCCATGTGTCCAAGGTTTTGCCAAAGTATTTGTGGTTGCGTTCTGCTGACATCATCGCATCGGCTCCGGAATAATCGTTTGTGAAGCTTGGGTAACTTGGACGAGCCAGGCATCCGCCAAATGATGTCTAAAATGATGCACTAGCTTCTAGAAATTTTGGCGCTTGATAGGCTGTCCAGGTGCCTTGGGTTTTGCGAAAGTGTTTAACTTGTGGCTGCGTTTGCTGACTTCATCATGATTTGCCGCGCCGGGGCTGGAATCAAAGTGCAGGCACGCAGATGGTCAAGGGTTTGTTGTATGTATGCAGATCTGTCAGCAGTCGGCCTGAGGTTTCTTCCTTCTCTCTGCAGGAACCAAGCCCGGCTGTTGAGGCTCATGCGCAAGTGCAGACCGGGTTGCCATCACAAGTGGACCCCATCCTGGCAGCCGCCCATTTCTTCCACGGACTTGGCGTCGTGACTGTCACCCACGACCTCCAGGAGAAGCTCTTTCCGAACGGCCAAGTCCGGAAGGCTCCCTGTCGCTGGGGGTCCCTCAAGCCCTGGAAGGAGGCAAACCTCAGCAACTGCCTTTCCGAATTTGCCAAGTCGGGGCGCAACTCCATCGCCATCGTCACGGAGAAATCTGACATTTTTGCGCTCGACGTGGACGTGAAGGACGGGGGCTTTGAGGCGCTCGAACGAATGCTCGACGAGCATGACAATTTCCCAGTCGACACGCCCCGCCTAACCACCGGCAACGGGGGGCTGCACATTCTCTTCTCCCTATCCCAGTCTGAGGAGGCCGGCCTGCTCAACTGCAGTAACAGAGCCCGGATCCGCTACAAGGGCAAAGCGGTGGGCATCGATGTGCGCGGAAGAGGGGGGATGCTGTACACAGCACCCAGCAGCTATGTGGGTCTTGATGGTACGCTGCGGCGCTACATGTGGGATCGGGAGATCTTGCCCGACCGCTCCAATCTCAGAGCTGTGCCAGACTGGCTCATATCCATCCTGAACGACGGCGGTGAAGCACCAAGCGGGGGTGTGGTGTGTGTAACTCGGGAGGGGAACAAGGCCAGGTACGTTTTTCAAGCTGCCTCAATGCTTCATATGCTGAAATTGCCATTGTTGTTCTGGTCTCCCAGGTTTGAGCGGGGCCTGCCCAAGCTATCCAAACTGTCCAAACTCTGGATCAAGTTTTTCCGGTCGCGATTTTCTGACGTCATCAAGCCACTGTAGTACTTTGCGTCAATTGAGTGGACAGCCCGGCCCAGGTAGCCGGACGATTTGTCCAAGTGTCCGTTGTAAGGAAGGGCTGTTTACTGATAGGATGCGTGTCTTCAAAAGCAAAGTTGGTCATGGCACACCTAAGCTGTCCAAGCTTTATGCATGAAAAAACTGTGGCAGCGTACGATTTACCTGTGGACGGTGACGAGAATACCTCTGATTGTTTTTTTGGGTCTGTGATTGCTCGCTTCCATTAAGTTGAAGAAGGTTGGTTGTAGTATTAACTTTTCGTTTTAACCTGTTCAAGGCAAAAATGGGACTTCTTGGAGGTAGTTACTACCTCAAAATGCTTATATGAGGTCTGATGCCTTTTCCTTCTCGACTAAAAGGCGACCCTCTTTCACGTCACAGGCGGACTTTGAAGAAACCAGTCTGGATCTTCTTCACTTTTTTCAATGCCTTGATTTTCTGGACGCGCTCTCTTGCTCACAAAGTCTACTTCTGGTGTTCTTTGAGATCACTACCAGCATTCTATGTTTTGGCTTTGACATTTTTGTCTTGTTAATTTTCGCAGCGAGTCGCAGGCTGTACCTTATGGACCCCCTCGTCCGATCGAAGACCCTCAGCAGATTCCCCCAGCAGCGGTCCTGCAGCGCGTCAAAGCCTGCGTGGCGGCCACTGGCGACAGCGCTTCCCGCTTCGATCGCCTCAAGGAGGGCGTCAACGGGCCGATGTACGTCTTTCGAGTGGACGGTTTGCGCCGCTGCCCATATGGCAATCATCACAACGGCTCGAACAACTTCAGCGTGCTGGTGCGTGGCAGGGACCTGCTTTATTGCTGCAGCAGCTCGGAGTGCCATGGGGTTTGCCCCTACCCGAAGATCGGAGAGCTCACGCGCTCCGAGGCCATGATCGGGGGTGCGACCGGGGCCTTCCATGCTGACGACTCCACCGCGATCTCTGCGCTGGACAAGCGCTTCGTGGATTTTTGGGCCTTCGAGGGGGACGTCGGTGGCAGCAAGATTGTTGCTGCAATGTACGCACGCTGCGGCAGGTGGGTATAATGTTAACTGGACGGCTGTGCTTTTTGCGCGCATGTCCGTGGAGAACTTTTTTCTGATTTCCTCATTGTTTGGTCTTTCTGGACGCTTGACCAGTCAAGAGTTTCTTGAAGTGTTTATTGGTTAGTGCTGCCATTGACAACAGTCCGGGCCTGAGATTGTGTCCAAGTGTCCGAGGTTTGGCAAAAGATTTTTGTGGCCGAGGTTGATAATGTCATCACACAGGGTTCCGGAATTTGTTTCATAAAAGCTTGGACATCTGGACAGCCAGTCCAAGTGCTCGAGGTTTGGCGAAAGACTTTTGTGGCCGAGGTTGATGACGTCATCACACAGGGTTCCGGAATTTGTTTCAATGATAAAAGCTTGGACATCTAGACAGCCTGGCCGAGGTTGATGATGTCATCACACAGGTCGAGATTGCTGACTTCATCAGCACAATGTGAGTGTTCGGCTGAGATTTTACAGCTTGGTGCATAATTGAGAGTAAGCGGTCCAGATCCGTTCATACATGACAGAGGACTTCCTTTTATAAAATGAAGCTTTCGACTTATGCATGCCACCAATATTGATCTTTTGTTGTTGCCATTTTGCAGGCTGTGTTTTGATGGTGAAAGCTGGCACTACTGGAACCGGCGGTGCTACGTAGCAGATGAGAAGAGCGCATTCTTCGTGAAGAGCGTTCTCATCAATCAGCTGAGGACCGTATACAGGCGACTCAAAGACGAGTTGAATGCAGCGATCAAGGCAGCCGCCGACGAGAAAAAGAAGAAGGCGTTGTGCGAGAAACTCAAGCGCCTGCGCACTTACAACAACAGCCGCGAAATCTCCAGTACTCTGGATCTCGTCCGGGGGGAGCTGTTCGCTCCTGACTTTGCCCAGCAGCTCGACGCGAACCCAGACATCCTCAACGTTGGGAACGGCGTGCTCCTTCTGAGAACGGGCGAGCTGGATCTGCACAGGCCCCAGTACATGTGCTCCAAGATCGCAGAGACGGACTTCATGGTGAGACCCCCCTTGCGGAGCACCATAAAGACAAAGCGTCCGGTCAGCTGGCGCATTTTGCAGCTGGACTGTTCTGACTGCTTCTCAGTGGTGTGGCAAGTTCTCCAGATTCTTTCCGTGTATTCAGATTACCATACACACAGGCTCTGACGACAAA